CCTTATAATTAAACAAAACGGCAACAATCCTATTTAATTTGACTTGCAAAATGAAACAAAATGGTCGGTAAAGAGGAGGAAAAGGAACTTTGTGGTTGGATTAAGAAATGGGGATGGTGAATGGAGTACTGATGAAAAGGGGAAAGCGAATATTTCTGTCGATTTCTTTTGCACTCTATTAACCTCTGAAAATCAGGTAGAGAATATGGAAATGTCGAACTACCTATTGATCGGACTGTAACTTTGGAGATGAATGCGGCCCTGATCGCTGAGGTTAGAGCTGTCAAAATATAACCCGACCCGAGTAACCCGCCCGATCAACCCGACCCACAACCCGCTCGCAACCCGACTTGACTAAAAGTCAATGGCCCGTAACCCGCCCAACCCGCAACCAGACCAACCCGCAACCCGATCGACCCACAACCCGACCAACCCGCAACCCGACCAACCGGCAACCCGACTAACCCGAACCCATAACCTGACCAACCCGCAGCCCGACTATAATAGAAGGAATTCGATGAAGATAAACCAAAAGCTGACATTTGAAATTCTAGTTCACTAAAGTCTGATCATTACATCATCAATTATTGACTTAGTATAATAATATACATCATCAACCTATTAACGCATATACATCATCAACCTAATAATGCACATAACATTATAAAATATTAATTTAGCATAATAAGATAATTATAAGATTTAAAATTCAAATATCATGGTCCTGTCTTAAAAAAGACTAACAATAGTTCACAAAAGTCTGATCATAACAAGAATACATGATTCATAATAGTTCATATTGCACTACAGGAAAACAGGTTTCTAAACACGGTATATTATTCCCGGTAATTTTTCACGTATTAGAAAGTACATTAATAACCAAGGGAAAATTTCATGTATTTAGTTGTATGTTTCTAATCACGGGGAATTATTTATTAGTTTTTTAGTCTTCATTTCCCGTGATTAATACTTAGTCACGGTAATTCGTGTGAACTTTTAAGAATTTCTTTATAAATTATTTCTTTCAATTTTATGAGGGATAAATTATTTTTGCTTAAGATGTATTTTGGTTCCAAAATTTTCATTTTTGATAGAATTGGCTCCAAATTTTCATTTGCTTCAGCGGCAACGTAACCGCCTCTTTTCTAAAATTTGGGCCGCCAAGCGCAAAAGAGACTTTGGTTCCAAATATTGTTTGGTATTTGGCTCCAAAATTTTCATTTTTGGTAGAATTGACTCCAAGTTTTTATTTGCTTTAGCAGCAAAGTAGCTGCCTCTTTTCAAAAAATTTGGCCACAAAGCGCAAAAAAGGAAGAACCTTAGCTCTAAAAAATTTTGGTCCGCAAGCCTCCAAATTCCAAACACACACTTTCTATTTCTCTCTCTCTTTCTCCCTTCCCTGTACCTATCCTCTACTCAGCATGATGATTTGATTGGTCTTGAAGATTTGAGAGTTTATTGGTATTTAATTCTAGATGATTTGGATAATTCTAGATGATTTCAATTTGGTTGGTGTTCATGCTACAAGAAAGATTATTTTCAATTGTGTTGATATTTGTTTTATTGACACTAATCTTATAACTTTGAGTAGTGATTCCATTTTTTGACAAGTATTGTTCTAGCTTCATATAGTTACGATTTACGACTTACTAGTAATCACTAAAAACTAACGCGATGTTCTGGTTCGTAAAACCCGCAGCCCGACCCGCAACCCGATTAACCCGTAACCGATTGGCCCGCAACCCGATTGACTTATAACCCGATTGACCCGCAACCCGAATGACCCGTAACCCGATGAACCTGCAACCCAATGAACCCGCAACCCGACCAACCCGCAACCCGAATGAACCCAGCCCGAACCTGCACGATTGACACCTCTAGTTGAGGTGCTGCCGTCGGAAGTTGGCCAGCAAACATTATTTTCGATTGGATCCAAACAAGCTTCGGGTTCGGATGGGCTCACTGGAAAATTCTTTCGTGCATTTTTGGATATCGTCAGCGAGTCAGTGGTGGAAGCAGTCTGCTCCTTTTTTCGAACGAAGTGAATGTTGTGGAACTTCAATCACACTTGGCTCACGCTTATCCCTAAAGTGGATAATGTGGAGAATATGCACCAGTTGAAACCAATAATTTTGTGCCAATTCGTGTATAAAAATATTGCTAAAATCATGTCTGAACGATTGGCCCTATCCCCCAGATTATTTCGCCGTAACAGAATGCGTTCATTCGTAAAAGACAGATTGTGGGTAATGTCCTAATTAGACACGAATTAATGCATTACCTGAAGATTAAGACTAAGGGTAAGAAGGGACATATGGCTCTGAAGGTTGATTTGGAAAAGGCCCATGATAGAGTTGAATGGCCATTCTTACTTGTGGTTTTAGAGAAAATGGGGTTCAGTCCGACTTGGATACGATGGATTCAGGAGTGTTTGAGATCCTCGTTGTTCTCTGTTCTTATAAATGACACCCTTGCCGGGTATTTTAAATCGACGCGGGGGCTTAGACAGGGCGATCCTTTGTCCCCCCTCCTCTTTGTCATCTGTACAAAGGGGTTTGCGGCGCTCCTTCGAAAGGCCGTTGAGGATCGAAAGTTAGCGGGTGTTCGGGTTAATCCTAGAGCCCCGAGTATTTCCCATATATTCTTTGCAGACGATTCATATTTATTCCTCCAAGGGTCAATGCAAGAATGTGAAAATCTGATTGAGGTCTTGAATGAATATGAGGAGCTTACTGGGCAAAAGCTTAATCTGGATAAATCTGCAGTGTGCTTTAGCTTGGTGTGCACGATAAGTATTTGGGATTGCCTACCTTGGATTCTCAATCCAAGATGGCTACTTTCCGATATCTATAGGAGAAGTTATGGAACGTTTACAGGGCTGGAAGCAGAAGGTGTTTTCTTGGGCGCCGAAGGAGACACTAATTAAATCAATTGCGTTAACTTTACCCCTCCATGTTATGTCTTGTTTTAAGCTTCTTATATCCTTCTGTCGCATTCTGGATAAACATGTGGCCAGATGTTGGTGGGGGTTGAAGGGGGTCTCCCTCGGGTTCGTTGGATTTCCTAACGGAATTTGTGTAAAAGTAAACATGATGGGGAGGATGGGATTTCATTGTTTTGAGCTTTTGAATCAGGAGCTCCTAGCTAAGATTGGCTGGCGATTCTTAATGAACCTAATTATCTCCTGGCTCATATTTATAAAGGGAAATACTTTTCGACTGATTCATTTCTTACAGCGACTGGTCGATCTCGACTATCATGGGGTTAGCAGCGTGTTCTCCATGGCAACCTCCTTCTCCAAAGAGGGTTGAGGTGGCAAATTGGGAATGGGCGCAAAGGCCTCTATCCAGCATTCCAGTTGGGTCCCGTGTGTTCACCCCAATCTCCCTCCTTGTAATCCACTAATCCACTTACAATTGTGGAGGATACTTACCCGAAAGTTGCTGAGCTTATAATTCCTGGGGGGGGGGGGGGGGGGGGGGGGGGGGGTGTCAACAGTCTCTCTTACAGATGTTTCCTCCGGACATAGTTCGTGTCATCTCGTCGATCCCCTTACCACGTATGGGGCTAGAGGATATGTTGGTTTTGGCATGATATGTATGATGGGATTTTACAGTCAAATCTGCTTATCACCTTACGATTTCAGTGGATAAGCAATTGGGGGACTAGCGTCCTACAGTGAGCTGGATGGACAGAGCAAGTTGGATGCGGATATGGGAGCTCAAAATCCCTCAAGATTAAAACTATTCTTGTGGCAAATATTCAATCGAATTTTTCCTACTAACGAACGCTGATTGAGAGAAGGGTCCAGATTTTGCCTAGATGCTCGATGTGTTTGGCGAAATCTGAAACGATGGAGCACTTATTTTGGGAGTGCCCAATTGCTACAACCCTCTGGAATCACTTGGGCTTGGAGCATCTAGGGCAAGGGTTGCCGCGTCAGACATTCCCTCTCTTCCTCAAAATGTGCTTGCTTAGGACGACCCACCCGGCCTAGATTATGGCCCTGGTGGCAATACTATGGCGTATGTGGAAGTCTAGAAACTGGGATGCCTTTGAGGGCAAGAAGTTCCTAATTCCTTAGTTGATGCACCAATATCATCAACAACTCCATGAATGGATATCTCTACTAGTGGATAGGATCGTTCGGATCGATTCCCTCTGCAGCATAGCTTGGAGGGGGGGATAATTGTTCTTTGTCATCTGTATGTGGGATGATGTGATACATGTTAACCCACACTCAGTTGGAGGGATTATTTTAAAGGACGAAGGAGGCTCTTTGGTCCTAGCCAGAGGGTTGGTTTTCGAGAATATTGTTGACCCCCTTGTGGTAGAGACTATTGTCCTCCGTGAAGCTATTAAGTGGTGCCAGGACCTTGGCCTTACTCACGTTCAATTTGAAGGCGATTCGAAGGTGATCATCGACAAGATTAATGCCAAGGAGGCGCGAGACAACCATGTTGGGGCTATTATTGAAGAGATTCTATGTATGCTGGCTCTTAATACTAGTTTTCGTGTTCGATTTGTAGGTCGGATTAGCAATAGGGTAGCCCATTTTGTTCGGAAGGCCCTTTCTTTACCTCCAACTTCGTGTCGATTGTATGATTTTCATTCCTTGGTTGAGTCCATGGTGTAATTTGTGATATTTTTATCAATCAATATGATTATCTTTTGTAAAAAAAAAAAATCATACGTACAAACTTAATTGTTGTGTAATTATATTCTTACATGAAATACAATTGTTAGTGTCATATATGTTGTACACTTGTATTACGTCATACATATTTACAACAAGAAGAATATATCTTAAATCATTCTAGAATCATGATTCAAGTAATGACAATTATGATAAGGATTTACCCTGGCTCGTGAATGAACTATGAAGACAAAGTGTCTTACCATAGAAAATAAAATAATATGAAAGTCATATTTTCTTTTACGAAATAATATCGATGTACACCTCTACTTTCTGAGCCCTTTACATTGATGAAGTATAGCCTATGAACATCATGTCAATACAAGTTTGTGCATAGTAAAAAATGCAAGCTAGTCATAGCCTATGGTTTCTTCAGTTAATTAGTAATGAGTTACATGTCATGATTTTGGTGGGTTGTGTGGGTGCAGGGCCAGTGATGAGTTTGAATGAACAAATCCATGACTTTGAAAGTTCAACGCTGCCAGAACTGGAGCAACTCTTGTGTTCCCTAAGGGAAGAGTTACTGCCCGATTACATGTTTGTGGTGGGAAAAGGTGGCGACGATTACACTCTCAATTACTTCTTTAATCTCACTAATCCTCGTCCAAACCTCGACGGCTCCACTTCCAATCTCATTGCCGCACTGTCAGCCAAGTTCCTGGTAATTCATTAATTAACCTTCATCCCATTTTTCTTCTATTGATATTCGCGAGGGCACCATATAACATCGTTCGGCAACACAGAATGTGACGAACGCTTTTGTTGAAAACAATATTGATTACGTGTATAGCTCAAACCCACTGAATTTCGCAGCTCAGCTACTCAATGGCAAGCTCAAATCCATGGTCGACACCCTGAATCAACAGCAACCTGATTCCAAGTTCGTGATGATCAACGCCTATGGGATTATCGACCAGATTCTCAACAAACCTGTGTTGGCAGGTAAACAATGCATAAACTCTGAACCCCTAACTTGTTCATCCATGTTATAGAGTAGGTACAAATATAAGATTATTCAAATGCTTTGCTTTATCTCCAATACAGGATTTAGCGACACGGTGAATCCATGCTGCGATTGCGAAGCAAACGACCATACTATGCAACAGAGGTGGAGCTGCTTGCTATAATAGGAGAGCGTACGTGTTCTTCGCCAGTCTCCATACGACAGACAGACGCAGTGACCCTCCAGATTGCAACTAGGGCATATGCTTCCACTTGCAAGGATGATGTCTATCCGATCAAATATTGAACAACTGGCTATGCTCTAGGATTACTACTAATACTTTGGCAGACTAAGAAGTTAAGCTTTCTGTAGTTCCACCGAAATTATAATGTTCCCTTCTGCTGCTCACTAACTGAATTAAGTTAAGGACCTGAATCGATTCAAAACAACAACGAAAAACGAAAGCTTTGACATTAAGGTTTGGAACTAGCAAATGCACCAGGGAAGTTCATTATATACACCAAAAGAATAAAGCCAGCCAGCCAAATACAGGACAGGACTCTCCAAAACCCAAGGTAAGCTGTTCTCCCTAAGAATCATCACACGAGCAAGCAAAAGAAAATTATAGGGGAAAACAAATGGCGAAATTCGACCACCAAATTCAACCTATCTTCTTCTCAAAGACAATCACAGAAGTACATTTCCCCCTATTTTCCACAGCTTCCCAAGAGAGCACAGAAGAGAGAGGCAGTCAACCCCCAACCAAAGAATATATGACACAAGCCCTAAAAATCAGGGGGAGACCCCTAAACTTCTTTCTCCACTCCCCCGGCCACATAATTGTACAGTTTTTAATCGGGATATAAAGAGAAAATAGAAAGCTTGGAGAGATCAGACATCCATACCATTTAAGAAAATAGCCCCCTCATTGTCACTGTCACGTTTCCTTCGAAGAGCTGAAGCTTCTTCTCTCTGTCACTGTTGAGTTGACCAGAACCTCCGGTGCAATTTCCCAGCTGCCACTTCTCCTCCCCCAACTCGAGTGTCTTGTCTCATCTCTGACCGTAGCGGCTCGATGATGATCAGAGCTTAATACGGACTCCACATCTGACGTGTTGTGTGGAGCCCCACCGTTGCTCCCTCTGCAGCGTATTTCATCATCCATCTCTTCTACGTTACGACGCTGAGAGATTTTCAGCAAGTCCTCACCAATCTCCAGATCGTCCTGGACCTTCGGACGCGGGTTCCCCCCACCTGAATCTTCTTCTCCTCCGGTTGCTTCACGAGCTGTGGCCCGCCCCACAGGCCTCGGTGGTGGTTCTTCCTCTTGTGCCAGAGCACGGAAGTTGTTTTTTGATGGCTTGACCTTGGTGCAAAATACCTCCTTGAAATTTTTGACACAACCCAGGTTATAGACGTTGATCCTGTTCTCTGCCCGGTAACGAAAGTTTTCATAGGTTGTCTGAAAAAAGGGATGGAGAGAGATTACATGAGTTCACCAGCTAGAAAGTGATTCTTGCCTAACAATCAATAAAATTGGGAGTGGGAAAGAAGGTAAGCTGACCTGATTTGTCCCTATGAGGTATAAGTGGAACCCAGTTAGTCCTCCCACAAACCATAAAGAGATGAAACAGTAGATCATTAGCACGACTGAAGTAGGAGAGTCCTGTATTGCCTTCCAAACTGTAGCATGGTTATCAACCATCAAAACCTTAATGTACAAGGCCGATATGGAGAACACATAGATGCACAGAAGTGTTGCAGAAGAAACAAACATGAAGAAGTAACGGTAGTTCCGCTGCACACACAAAGTAGAATTTGGTAAAGCAGCAGCATAGTTAAGATTTGTGATGGGTGAGTTTGTTCTGGTAGAATAAGTAACTTATTTTCAAAATCGAACCAAATAAACCTTTGTTACACTTCTATTAAAAACTTTAACGAAAAAGCAAAAGCTAAAGTGCATGAACTGTTAACTGCAAATAACATACCAGTCCTATGCATTGGCCCACCCAAGGGCAATGATGGTCAAATCGTTCCACACAATTGTTACAGATGGAACAGTGAGAACAGCGGGGAGGGCGATAAAGCATACATGTATCACAGTATTTGACTCGAACAGGAATCCCATTGACCATCACTTCTTTCGTCCTAGGAAACTGTAGGCTCGGTGTTTGTCTGCCACCAACCTCAACTGATGCAGAAGAATCATAACGGAACTCCTCTTCTGGTGGATGCAAATTGCGGGGGAGAATACCAGGGTCCCGTGCAGATGTCAGAAACAGAAGAATCAATACCTTTCAAAATTCAATAGCATATTAGTTATACTGAAGAAAAATGACCAAGTGGGTTCAAAGAATTAGGGAGCATAATTATGTTGACAATGAGATAATAGAGATTCAGATTTAGTTTACTAGAGAAGAAACAACATAGAAGGTAAATAATGTCTTTTCCAGGTTAAATAGTCTAGAATGCACTTTTCTCTGTAGCCGAACCATGAGCATACATAAACCTAGAACAGATTCTATAACAGCCTCGAGTAGGGATGCGATGTATGTTGGAAGAACCATAGTTGTCATCAACTCCAGCTTAGAAGAGCCTGATGCATAATCTAGAGAGAAAATATAGAGATGTCATAACTGCTACCTAAATTACCATCCATAACCAGGGATAATTAATGCCTAAGATGGTGAAGAAAGTGGGGCTTACTAAACTTAATTCAGTTCAGGGAGGGAAATCCTAAGGCATCCTCAAATGTCATGGCATCTCTAAGTTGACACTTGAACTCCAGCTAAAAAAAAGCAGGCGCAGGTGATTTTACAACTGTAAGCCAAAGTAACTAACGAGTGGTTGAAGGGCCTAACCAATTTTTCTGTGTCAAACACATTTAGACATTAAGAGGTTGTCTGGAACTTGGGGATACAATGCAAATAAATTTTGGCTGGGAAACCACAGAATTAGTGAACTTACATAGATGGTAAAGAGAATTGCAACCACAAGAATGGCATAGCCTGCATTGTAGGGTGAAAATTCATGACGTAGATGCCTTGCAACAAATACACAAAATAGCACAACTGGAACAATGATGAGTGATAAGGTGACAACCAGTGATCTAGCATCTGGTCCAAATATAAATCGCCCTCCAAGGATGAATTTCTGCAGAATAGAAAAGAACACAATTATTTAGAAGGAACCTACCAGAAATGAAAGGAGAACATTAATATCTCATCACTTCATCTTTCGGAACTCATGCCCAGGGACAGTTTTGTGATGTTACCGAGCCATCAACAAAGTACGTGATTAAAAAAAAGGAGCTTAAAACCCATTGAATTTAGATAAGCTAGCCATTGGAACAGGCATATCTGCACAGCCTTTTAAACTAGCTTCTTTTTACTACAATCTGGACAAGAGTCTTTTGTTCGGGACAAAATTTAACAATGAACCATTGAACACAAATGAGACAGACACCAAGCTGAACATCATATCCACTACTAATTAACTCAGACTTGGATGTGCAACTCAAATGCAAATCTATTGTTCGGGACAAAAATTAGCACCAAGAGATTACCAGGGAAGTAAAGTTACTCCCGTTCCAGGAAAAAAGAAAACTATTAGAGCACGACCTCTGCTAGCATTTAAAGTTAGCCAGCACGATACCAGAATTTAAACTAAACTTTCCACACGGCTCGTCAGAAAGCGAGCAGACAATAAACTGGACTTGCCATCAGTTCATCACAGCTAAAGAAAAACTGCACGATGCTGTCTGATTACTATCACATAGCATAAGAAAAAGTTTAAACATTTTAGATCAGCTTAAAGTCAACCAGGCACAGTAGCAGGAATTCATGAAGATGAGATTAGGAAGTTAAGTGCAAGAGAGAGGCCAATCAATGTTCTGTATTTTTTTTTTTTTTTTATTACCCAGGAACCTCAATCCCACGTGCCACTTTGTGGCAAAGGGGTCTACTAAACCTGGGGAGTACCACATGAACATTAACAAATTAGAACACAAGTATGATGGTCACTGGATAGTGCCGAAGTGACAACCGCTCGTAACGTGATAACCAATATAGTAACATTAGAAGGTTCCTAAACAGCCAAGTATGCCTATTGGAGAAGTTACTATCTTGAAAGAACTAGTCAGCATCTCACAAGAAATTTATGTAATATAAGATAAAACTCCACTACCAGAAAGATTAAATAAAAAATAAATAAAAACGTGCCGGGAGCCGGAGGGGGAAGCTTCAAAGAAGCAGGGACATTTATCCGAACCACCTAACAGAAGCACCTGAGTTCTACTATGATAGGCAGACAAGTGAATGACTTTAACACTGTCATGGAAATAGCAATATTACAATGCTAGATCAGACAATATAAACAAACCCGTAAGGACACTAGCAACACAATCCAATCTAGAGGAGAAGTGCTATAGAATAAATGTATTCTCTGCAACAAACTTAAAGCAATCAGCTTAGAAAAGAATATAGAATATTTATTCAGGTGAACAGCTCATTTTTTAGTTGCTTTCTGATGTAACTATAGAATGCTATCCCAAAAGCCACATGAATAGTACTCCCCTGTGCAGGAAAAGCAAGTTGCACAACACAACTGACTGTGAGCAGAGTGTCGGGCCATAACAAAAGAAAGCATCAGAAAATTAGCATAAGAGTGGGAAAAGCTTTGAGAAACTTAATAGGGCAGATGGTACCAACTCATGGTCAATTGAAGAAATATGCATACCATCTTAAAGAACATCTATCTGTATCAATCTTGCAAGAAGTCTGATATCTTAGTTATATCACTTATATCCTTAAGATTTGCTAAACTTCTAGTGCGCTCACGCAAGGCAAACTAGTGGCCATTATTTAAATGGCGTATCATTGCAAAGTTGGGTAACATATGTTCAAATCGGTAGAGGACTAGTTGTGTCTTGTATGTGTAAACACCATTACCTTGATACTTGATGAATTTTAAGGGATTGATGCACAGTACAAAGATACGTTGCTTGCTTTATGATACCAGAACGACATGA